TTCATTTACATAAAATCATCCTATCATATGTTAGCTTATTGTAAATTACACTTGTATTTAAAAAAAAAAAAACAATTTTTATCTTTACTTCTATATATTTACTTCATTCATTATTCGAATTAGGGTTAATTAATTCAGTATTAATTAAAAATATATTTTCTTGTTTAATGCAAATTACAATTTGAAGGAATACCTTTACTGTAATCAAATAATTTCAACAAAAATACAAAAGATGCATGACCTATTATTATTCAATAATTATCATTTCAATTTTCTTCCCTTACTTTTTCTCATCTTCCGCTTTACAAAACATCTCTTTAATTTGTTTTATATAAAATATTTTTTTTCCAAAAAAAAACGAAAGTCCTTGTTTGAGTTTCATAGCATACAAATGACACAAATGATGACATGACATATGACTAAAAGTACAAAAGTCTTTTAACCTGAAATTGAAAGTTTTGAAAAAGGGAAGAAAAAAATTCAAATTCTATTTTGCCAAATTTCGTAACATACAAATTGAAAGTATAAAATTAGAAATACAACATTTTTTTTTTATAAGGATTCACAATTCATTTTAATTTCATTATTAATATTGTTAGGTTAAGTTCTATTAGGATTGCAATGACGTTGAAATTTGCTTACTTTCAAGTGTTCATTGAAAAAAAAAAAGAAATAAAGTCCTATTAAAAAAAAAAACAAACAATAACTAGCAAAAGAGAAGAAATACTAAGTTTCGAATCAAAAATTTTATTGTTTCAAAAATGTTTGTTATTATAATTTAAAAAAAAAAGAAATTTGGAACAAAATTATCTTATTGATTCAAATTTTAAATTCTAAATTTTAAATCTTTACCATTTTTTTTCTCGTTTAAAATAATTATTTTACAATAATATAGCACTTTTTTAGCTTCAAAGTTGTCATTTTCCTTTGCAACTTCAGGAAATTAATTTTCCAAAAAAATTGCTACCCACTAAATTTAATGATTTAAATTGCTTAAATTACTTATTTAAAAAAAAGATGAATGTTCGAGAAACTCATTTTCGATTGTTTTATTAGGTAAGATTATATTACTATCAGAAAGTCAGGAAAAAAAGCATTACAAATGACGGTAAAAATTCTAAAAAAAAAAAAAAAAAATAGTCACTTCATCAATCAAATTACGACTAATTGAATTTAAAGTTTATTAAATGAAAAAAAAAAAACTCATAGAAAGTGTCATTTTGTCGAAAAAAAAACGCAAAATTCGAATATTTATAATTTAGTGAATGAGAAATTCAAATTTGCAATTTGATTTTAAGATAATGATGAAAAATTTGAATTGGAAGCATAAGCCATAACTTTTTAGCCATAGAAACGTGACATAAGCCATAATATAAGCCATACCATAGCTTTTTCATTTTTCACTTTCGTATTGGTAAAATATTTGAATAAAAGCGATGAAATAAAAAGGAGACATTTAAGAAATTCAAAACGAATCATTTAAATTTTAGATTTATCAGCCTTTTTTCTCTTAACAATTAATTTTTTTTTTTTCATTATTTTCAATGCTTCCTTTGTTATCATATTTTTAGGCAAATATATACTTTTAATTTAGCTAATTTAAACTAAATTAATTTACTAATTACACGAATTATCAGGATGATGATAAGCAAACATTTCCATTTCTTTGAAAATTAATTAACAATTCTAGTTTTCTACTACAATTTCAATGAACAGCATGTGGATAGCTTAGTAGCATTACTGGAATAATCAGATAGATCAATAACAATCGATTTCTAGATTTGATCAATTTAAACTAATCGATGATTGAGTAATCAGCATTGTAAAATTCTCTCATGTAATTTACGGTGATAAAATAAATTAACTTTATGAGTGCTATTAAATTAATTATTCATTTAATAATTGCTTGCTGAAATAATTATCATTAATTGTAATCCTTCGTATATTCTAATCCTAATAAACTTAATTGCCAAAATTGTTGATATAAGCTGAGCTAATTAAATTAAGCTTTATCTAACTTTACTTCCTAAAAACTAATGAATTAAATTTTTTTTTCTTTATAATTAGACATTTCAAATTAAATTAAATAGTAATGATAACTTATTATTATTTATTATAAACTACAAAATATAACAGTTTATTCATTAAATAATTTAATCTTACTTAAATAGCAATATTTTAATGAAAATTGGATCATTTTTATATTTCAGAAATATACATTACAAGTGATACGTTCATTACTACTCATTTACTACGGTAGTGATGCTCAATTTGCGATACAAACTTATTCGATCCCTGGAAAAACAAAAATTAGTAATTTTTGTGATGCACCATGTACAATGCAATACGTCAATCAGATTGATCAAGAACCAAATTTTATATTCCAAAATCCAAATCAAACAGAGTTTGTTGTTATTTCCCTTATTTAAAATTAAATTAATTACAATTATTTTCGCTTAACATTCAATATTTTATCTCTTCTGATTAATTCATTTTTTCATTTTCATATCAATTTTTCTTTTTTTTTACTTTCATCTGATTCTTAAACGAATTTAAAGATATTATTCTTTATTTGGGGCTAACATTTTGTTAAATTCAACCATTGATTAAATGATAAATTGAAAGTCATACGTTAATTTCAACAAATTTCCATAATACTTTTCTTTCATTCACTTTATTTTCTTCAGTCTTCTAAAATTTAATTTTAGCTGAAGAAAAGCCCTTTTAAATTAAAATATAAATTTTTGCAAAGTCATTAAAGTTCAACAACAATAATTAAAAGATAACAAATTTAATTGATTAATAAGAGAGAATTTTTAAAGAATATCAACCTAACATTTGATAACAAATGAATCTATCATTTTACAATTAACCATCATTAATTGGCTCTTTTTTTCTCAGCAAATTTTTTTTCAAAAATATCTTGCCCTAATTACCCATATTTTTAAAATGTTCCTTAATCATCGTCTTCTCTCCTTCCTTTTTTTTCTTTTTTTTTCCATTATTTTTATTCAATTATCATGAAATCTAGCATTCTTTTGTTTTTTCTTTTTTTTTTTTTTTTTTGGAAATTAATTTTTAATATTTATTTAATTTATGTACAAAAAAAAAAAAAAAAATAGAAATGGCATAGTCTAGACTAAAGCTAATTTGCTTCTATTCAGAATTTTTCAATTTCAGAATACCTGTTTTTTTTTTTACCTTTTTATAACTAATTACCTTTTTTTTTTTTCTAACAGAAGATTTGTTTTTTTACGTAAAGCAATAGTAATTTTCTAGTTTTGAAGAAATTTTAACAAAATATTTCTGTTTTCTGCGTGATAATTTAATTTGAAAAGTGCATAAAATTTACTTTATTCTTTTTTTTTTTTTAAACATTTATTTTCTGAAATTATTTTTTTCTAATTAAATTACAGTGCTATCTGGCAGTACTATCATTATAGTCTTGGGAAGAAACCAAATCTTTACATTCTATTTGTAACCGATCGTACCTCCTACAGGTATGATTATTTACATTTCAGGATTTAAAAATAAAATAAATGCAAATATTGGAAAGAAATAAATTATTACATTCAAAGTGATCAATTCATTTTCAAAATAGGCCACTATTATTGCAAAAAAAAAAAGGAAAAGAAAATGAGATGTAATGGTTTGAACTTTTAATCTTTATTGATTTCTTTATCAGGAATCATTTCTAGGGATGATGCTATATTCGAGAAGGATATGGAAGATTCTAGTAAAATGTTAGAAGCAACGAAACTTGCTAATAAGACTGAAACAGTATTCATTGATGATGCTAATGCAGCTCATTATTTTATGTACAGTAATATTATTGGCTATGGACGAAGTGTTACTGAAACAGCCAATTTGATCAATGATAGATTGAGTTAGTTACGGTGATTTCTTCATTTACATTTTCAATGAGATCATTTATTGATCATTCGAGAATAAGGGGAAGGAAAAGATGAAGCTTATCATTTATTGTTCATTCGAGAATAAGGGGAA